CCTGCCATTTGGTCTCTCCCTAACAACTACACTGTAACAGCTCTGGTCAAAGGTCACCACTTTCCTACTTTGCTACAACTTTCCTACTTAAGCAAATGCTTTATCTTTTACTAACCTTACCAGGTACCTTTTGGAAATTAGAGAGTCTTCTCTGCATCATCCAACTTTAAGAACACCAATCACCCTTTAAGATACGAACATTAGACAGAGAAGCTCATCTATATAGATTATAGCCTAATGGTGGCATGTGGAGGTATGAAATGTTGCAAACTGCTTTTTGGGGTCGAGGGGCGGTATTTGGTAATGTTAACCAATTCTTTTTTCTTGATACGTTATTTTCCTTTGTTTCTACAATATCATACTTGTCTGATTTTCTTCCTATGAGTATGATTACTTCTCAGCATGTCCTCATTTCTCTACTTGTCCCTTAAATGCTGGATTCCTTAGGACTCTGCCCTCGGTTATTTTCTCCACTCTTCGCAAGTTGGCCTAGGACACCCTCTCAAATACTACGGGTTCACCTTCCTGTACCCTGGTAAGATCTGCATTCATATCCTAATAATAATGATCACAGATACTATTTCTTTAGCTTACCTTTTGCCAGACACTTTACATGTTTAACATTTAATACAGCAACCCCTAAGGAAAGTGCTGTTTTTATTCCAGTTTCAAAGATGTGGAAAGCAAAGCCCAAAGAGTTGTAGGTAACCTGCCCATAGTCATGCTAACTGGTCACAGGGCCAAAATGGAAACCAGATCATTGGCCTCCAAGTTCCCTCGTGGATGCTTACAATATATTACTACAGAATTGCCTAGCACCATGTGCACACCATCAAGCTTAATCCACACTCTTCTCCATGGGTAATCATTCAGTTGACCAGTCATCCCTGGGATAGGACATTCTCTTTAATTTGGGGCTGAAAGCGGTATAGGAAAAACTTTTACTTCAGATCTTTTTCTCGAAAATGATTCAAAATACATTTGTCTATACTCTCCTTTTGCAGAGTCTACTAAACCTAGCTGGGATTTTAGTGATTGAGAAATATATAATGCATTTTGAGGTTATTATTAAAAAACTGTTTTTAATAACTCCTTAATTTTATTTATGGAAAATATAGCAGAATACATTTAAAAACCTAACATACGATAGACCATGAAGGCCACTTTAATTTTATAAGTCTGTTTTCTTACATGTTCTCTTTCACATCTAAATTTAAGATTTATAATTTTTCTCTATGCATCTCTCCCAAACTCCTCCAAGAAAAAACCAACCAGTGTGGACATTTTAAATTAATATCATCTGTAAGCTTTTATTTATGATTATAACATAAAGGAGAAACATTAAGAGATTAAATGATCTGTTTAGATTATACAGCAAACAAACTAGCAGCAATACTAGAAGCTTGATATATTTACATTCATCTCACAAACTAAACCCAGACACTTAAATTTTGCCATCTGGGAGGAAGCAGCCACATCTATAAAATATGTTCAGTTCCAGGAACTGAACTGAGTATCATCAGTTCCAGGAACTAGGTCAATACCATACACCGTTCTTGTCACTGGAAAATAATGTAAGACCATATATGCTCCAGCAGCAATGTCTGTATGGAACCACCACACGTGAGGAGAAGTCAACAATTAACTCTCATATGCTCATTGTCAGATGGAAGCCACAATGCAAACTCAAAAACAGTCTTTTCTTTACATTTAGAATGAGGTTATGAAAGCATCATAATTCCTTTCTTCCTCCTTGCTTTCTCTTTCCACCCCATCCACTTCCAGTTAGACTGTTGTTATAAAAATTATCAGCACTCAAATATTATAAAAAGGTGGCATAGCTCATGTTGGTAGAACTGGTCAGATGCACTTCTACAGAGGTCTTGCTAGGTATACTATAACCTTTCATAACCCTTTTCAACCTGCAAAATCTTCAGGCTGAAAAAGATCATGGAGTTCCAACAACTTTATCTTAGCTCTTCCTTCATTTAAATAGCTCCAAATGCCTACATTAAATTTTCCTTATTTGAAAGGACAGAATTCCTCTGATCATATTCTATCTAAACCTGAACATTTTATGGCTGCACCTTTATTTGTTACCTCTTAACTGTTATAACACCACCGGTGGTACACAAAGTCAGACCTGTGTGGATTTTTTTTTTCAGCAGTTTTTGTTAATTACACCAGTTTAACCTGTTCTCATTTGTACAGTCTTAGAATAAAGGTAATGCAACTGACAAATATTTAAATGGTTCTTTTTGACAGCATTAGGAGGAGACAGTTGCATGAAGATTCCTAACACTGTTGCTACATCCTAAAGTTGTTGTTTTTTTTTATGATGGAGTCTTGCTCTGTTGCCCAGGCTGGAGTGCAGTGCCACGCTCTCAGCTCACTGCAGCCTCTGCTTCCCTGGTTCCAGTGATTCTCCTACCTCAGCCTCCCAGGTAGCTGAGATTACAGGCTCACACCACCACCAGAAGCTAATTTTTTTATTTTTAGTAGAGACGGGGTTTCACCTTGTTGGCCAAGCTGGTCTCGAACTCCTGACCTCAGGTAATCCACCCACCTTGGCCTCTCAAACTGCTAGGATTACAGGCGTGAATCACCACAAGTGGCCAGCCTAAACTATTTTTAACAAGCTATAAGGGAAGTACATTCTGTAATTCTCATTATCAATTGGTTAAAAATACATTGTCCTACTCGAGAATCTCCAGAGCCTCCTTACTAGCTACTGTGCCAAGTGTAAATTCCCCTGATGACTTTTCAGGACTTATTTTTTTTTTTTTTTTTTTGGGACAGAGTCTCACACTGTTACCCAGGCTGTAGTGCAGTGGTGTGGTCTCAGCTCCCTGAAATCTCAGCCTCCTGGGTTCGAGCAATTCTCCTGCCTCAACCTTCTGAGTAGCTGAGACTACAGGTGTGTGCCCCCATGCTCAGCTAACATTTTTGGATTTTTAGTAGAGACAGGGTTTCACCGTGTTGACCAGGATGGTCTCCATCTTCTGACCTCATGATCTGCCCACTTTAGCCTCCCAAAGTGCTGGGATTACAGGCGTGAGCCACCATACCCGGCCTCAGGACTCCTACATCATGGTCTTGCCAGGTTCCCACTGCTCTCAATATGAACCCAGCACTACTCTGTAAAAGCATCCTACTTCTGCCTAGCCCTTCACCCATGCCAACGTCCTTCTTCTTGCTTTCTTCCTAAGTAACACTACCACCCTAAGCTTGCGTGCAACCTCTTCACCAAAGCTTTTTCCTTCTTTCCAACCTACTTTTATCACCAACTTCTCCAAATTTGTAAAACCATAACACAAAGTAGTGCTTATCTATACGCTGTTTCTTACCTGTTTGGGTTGACCTGATCCAATCTTGTCATGTAATTCATAAACTCTGCAAAGTTTGGAAAAAATCTCCTAATTTCTTTGGATATTTTCTGACAGATGATGCCTATGTATAAGAAGGTGATAAGTGTATTAAAATGTATTAAGAAATTACAATGTTAACTGTCCCAGGATTTCCAAGATCGACTATCCGGTCTGGAATAAAGGCATGGGGTCCAAATTGCCAGGTCCATTACTTATAACTGTGTCTCCATAACCCTGGTCAGTGCTGTACGGTATTGACAAAATGGGCTTGTGAATATTCCAACTTCTTATCAGCTATATTATCTAGAAGTCAATCTCTGAGCCACTGACACCTTGGATTAAAATCAAGGATAAGAATACATATCTTTCACTGACTTCTTTGATTTCTTTGAATGTATTATGCATACTCTGCCTCAGGGCTCTTCCCTCTGTCTAAATATTTCTTTCCCATCTATTTACCTACTTAATCCCTACCTATCTATTCTTAAACATTCTTATCAAAGCTTTCCTTACTCCTCTCTCATCCCACTCTATTTATCTAAAGACCATCTTTCCTAGGAGAGACTGTAACTTGCTAGGAAGAATGGATTGTCTTATTCTGTGCTGCGTTATCCAGTGCGCTATGTAAATATGCAAATATTTGTTACTATTTTTCACTTCTCCTTTCTTCTTGTTACGTATGATTTATTTTTAGCCTAAATCCTATAAGTGACTTTTGTTATTCCTTGATGTGATTCTTGGCATTTGATTATGGTCATCAATCACTGTGATAATATAAAAAAAAAATTTTTTTTTTGAGATGGAATCTCACTCTATCATCAGGCTAGAGTGCAATGACATGATCTCGGCTCACTGCAACCTTCGCCTCTGAGGTTCAACCAATTCTCCTGCCTCAGCCTCTGAAGTAGCTGGGATTACAGGCACATGTCACCATGCCCAGCTAATTTTTGTATTTTTAGTAGAGATAGAGTTTCACCAGTTCGGTCAGGCTAGTCTCGAACTACTGACCTTGTGATCCGCCCATCTCAGCCTCCCAAAGTGCTGGGATTAGAGACATGAGCCACAGCACCTAGCCAAAAAAAAATTTTTTTAAGTTATATAAGTGACAAAATCAGCCAAAACAATACAAATATGGGTCAATATTTCCTTCTTGTGAACTGACTAAATAGATAATTCATGTTCATTGCCAAGTTAGTTGCTCACTTTAGATACCAATAAATACTTCTTACAACTTGGTTTGCTATAAATATATTTTTAAACAGTTAATGTAAAATTGTAAAATTAAGTGAATAGGGAGATATAAGGAACATGACGTATCTGGAATCCTTTATATACAAACCAGTATTATTGGTACCGAATTGAAATAGATTTATGTGATGAACATAAAACTATTAAATTTACCTAGTATCACTATTTTCAGTCTAAATCTAAATAAATTAGAACTTAAACTGACTCAAGAGCACAAAACACACACACACACACACACACACACACACACACACAAACACACATCATTAACATATCATTGAAGAGAGAACAGACATGGATATTCTCATGGAAACAACACAGTTGTGGTCAAAACAAGAATTCTAACTCCATTCAACCAGAAACATTAGTGTATCTATCCAGAATTCTAAAAAAGAAACTCAGTGACCGTACAAATAAATTATCTTCTTCAATTTTAGCCAGACTGAAGGTTAGGTTAACCAATAAACATGCTAAAAGAAATGTATACTATATGGCTTTATTTACACAACTGTTAATGAAAGTAAAGTTTCTCAACAAATGAGGTGATGATAACTACTCAAGCAATTACCATTAGATTTGGCTGAGGGTACCTGGAAAACCAATGGTCCCTAAAGGGGCTTGTCAAAATCACAACCCTATACTCTTAAGGAATTGCAGACATTGTCAAATCATATGGGAAATTTGTTAGGAAAGTTTAGGAATGTGATATTTTTAGGAAATTGAAATCCAGCTCTCAGTAATAACACCTTTTATTCTCGGTAGCTGGCAGAATTGAAACATCATGCCTGTCTTACATAAATAAAAAAGATCATGAAAATTACATTTTATTTCCACTCCAATGCCTAGCTTATATCCTCCCTAACTAATAAAAGGTAAGATACAATTAAAATGGAGGAAAATATTACAGGGGAAATTTCAAAAGTACATGTACTACATTAATTAAATGGAAAAGAACAGGAATTAATGAGGTCAAAAATTATTCCATTTGAAGAAACAAAAATAGAAAGACAAAACAAGCTCCAGCTATACACTTGTTTACCTTTACATTCTGTCTAATAAAGTCTCACAAATATTGCTAATCATAATCTAAAGCTATGTGCCAGGAAGGTGAATACCAAAATGAAATATTTTTCAAACTGTTAAAGTGATTGTCTTGTTTTGTTGTTTTACAACATACTAAGTGTTCGTAGGAGAATGCTCTTACTCAGACGAGTGTAGGCAGCTTGAGCATGAAATTGTAAGGCTTTAAATTCAAGAAAAAAAAATATATGTATTCAATGAGACATTGCCCAACTAACTCACAGTGTGACTCTGTTGCCCTGGCATAACTGTACTTGAACTGAAGATCTTCTTGTTCTACACTGTATCACTATTTTACTAGTGTCTCTCTCATAGACTGTTATCAGGAAATAAAGTCATACACTTCTTCTGGACAATTGGCTAAAATGAGGTTATTTCCAACAACAATTGTTTTGACTACTTAGACAATGGAAAACAACTCTCCTTAGATCCAGAAAACAAGCAGCACTGTACTGAGGGAAGAGGAAAACAAATGCTAATATTAAACTGTAAATAATTTAGATATTCCTGGTAGATAAAATACACTGAGTTTAGGGAGCTCTACATTATTCTGTGAACAGCAGCTAGCATTTCTAATTAATCTGTTAGATTGGTGCAAATGAGTTGCAGTTTTAATACATATTAAAGTGAATTTTTAGGCCATAGACTATTATAAACAAATAAAATATAGAAGTATAAATCACAAACCATCTAAAACTAGAACGTGATTACTTTAATTTATAAAATTGACTGTCATAGCTCCTTAACAATATTAGTCGCCCATAGTCCTCTGTTTCCTTCTCCAGGACAGAAAGTAAATGATTAAAATTATACATAATTAATCAGCAAACTCAGACATGAGCTGCCAAAGGAGAAATATTGGAAACCCAGTATCTTGTGAAAATCATTGCAGGATGGGTTTTTGCCAGAAAGACATTATTTTTAAATGTCTTAGTGGAAGCACCTGTATAGCAAACATTTAAAATGTTTCTCCAAACTTTTATGCAACTCAACATTGACTGCTTAGCCCTTTATGGTTAAAAAGCTAATTCATATTAAAATTTACACAACAAAATATAAATATTTCATATGTTTTTTTATACTACTTCTCTTTCTTTTTACTTATCTGTTGTGTTTTTAAATGTATCTTGTTGATTTTTAAACTTAAAATTTTTCCAACTCACCAAATAGATCAAAAGTATTTTCTAAGAAAAGTTGTTTAGAACAAAGAACACATTTGCTCTTAAAAATAAGTGCTGTCTCTCAGAGGTCCTGCACAATGACACTTGCAGTATATCATACATTTCAATGGTACACTTGCTCATTGACATCCCTCTTCAACCAATCCTTTTGATAACTGTGGTATCAATGTTTTCCAGGGGTTTAGACACATAATAAAGGTGAACGATCTTACAAATAACTGTAGTTTTCCTCGTTTTATATCAAAAATGTCACTTCAGTTCCCTATGGTTCACCTCAGCTTACCAAAGCATGGTTTCTTTGCTTCCTTCCCCAAACAAGAATTGTGACTGCTGTTCCACCTCCTACACGTTCTTTACTTGATAATTACAAGAAATTTTTTCCCGATTATTTGCCCACCATAAATAACGACAGTAGAGACACTGCGGAATTTCCCCTCTGCAATTATACAAGAAGACTGGGCAGAGTAGAAACTAAGGAGCTTGGTGATCATTGTCCTGAAGTTGGATCTGCAGCTAGAGGGGTTCTAACCCAGACCAATTCAATGAAAAACTCTAGGGTTAAAGCTCAGATTTCACTAAATTCCTCCGGTGATTCTAATGAAGGCCAGGAATAAATTCATCTGTCAAATGCAGTATCTACGTCTTCTAGGGAATGTGCCAATTGGTATTCTGGAAAAAAGTACTCCATCGTTATATGTTTGAGACCTAAACCTGGAACAATCACTATACCTAATAATATCTGAAGCATTTTTATAGTGAGAGATAATATGACAAGTATTTCTACTCTCACCAATACATTTAAGGTAGTTGAGCAAATCCTAACAAACGTTCTAAGAAAGGAAAACGAAATAACATATGGCACATGTTGAAAGAAGAATGAGATTGTTACTCTTTGCAACCTACTACATGGTCCACTTAGAAAAACTAATAAACTTAAAACTAATCAGAGAGTACAAGATGTCCAAATAAAAGATCAATTTGTAAAAATCAATGGTACTCTAATTTTGCAATTTATATTTATAGAATATGATAAAATGAGAGACCACTCACAAAAGCAAAAAGCTATGTAGGAATTAGTTAACCAAGTATTCACTGATCCCTACAGAAAAAAAGGTTACAAGCCTTTTAACAGGCATAAGGAAGACACAATAGATTAAGAGATATTCCATACTACTGAATAGAATATTAACAGCCATGATCTAAAGTTAAACTATGCTTGTATATTTAATACACTCTCAATAAAAATGTTACCTGTATTTTTTTGAAAAACACTGATTAATAGATGCCATTGAAACAAGTAGCTCACTATATTGAGAAAAAACTCAACTGTTACCTAAAACAATATAAAAATTGGGACTCCTGACGGGTTAAAATTTCTGAACATGGAAGGTAAGTAAATGATAACATATACAATTACATAGGAGAAAACACTGCCTTTGTGATCTGTGAGGAAAGACTTCCTTAAACACTTCAAAAAAAGTTAACTATGAGAAGCCAGATCAAAAAGGCCACAAACTGTATGATTCTATTTACAAGACACATTGAAATCATGCTTTCGGTGCAAACGGGATAGCCCAATAGCATCATACTGATGTAATTCATAACTGGGTTCTAGAAAAATTGTAAGCACGGGGGAAAATATCTTCTTATGATGTTGGGGTCAACAAATCTCTTCTGTAAAGAGGCAGATAGTATTTGTGGACCATATGGTTTGTGTCACAACTACTCAATTCTGCTGTTGGAGCATGAAAGGAGCCCCAAAGACCACACAAACAAGACTGGCTATATTCTAATAAAACTGTAGTTAGAGAAATAAGCAAATAGCAGACTTGGCCCATGGGTGTAGTTTGCTCTCTCATGCAAAAAACCCACTTCCAATTAAAAAATAATTACAAATTAGCAGTTACCACTCTCTTAAGCATATTCATAATGAAAAGGCATTAAATGATGAAGAAAGAGAAACTGAGTTATAGAATTAGAGGAAGTACCCAATTCTAATTTTTTTTTTTGGCAGAAAGTACCCAATCAACCATAAAATACTTAGATGTCACAACTTCCATTTTTTAAATGTAGCACAAGGATATTTATATGTAATTCTGTAAAGACAAGTCAAAAGGTTCTGATTTAGAGGATTTATATCTTTCAGTTAATATTTTCCAAGCAAGGCTTCAAAGGAACCATTATATTATTCAGCAAACAGCTCAAGTTAGTATCAAAATAATCTATTTTTTCCATCCTACTCTTCATCAGAGAGAAGGGACAAAACAACTAAACTGCAAATACTTCCACACATTATTTTCACCAATTAGAAGATACACCTCAGGTCTCCAGTTGAGGGAAGAGAGAAATTTTGTTGTTTATTGAGCAACATCTGGACATTCTTCATAGTTATAGGCTCATATGGCCCAGTGGTAATGTACTGCACTTTAGGCAGTTCATGGAAAGCAATGAAAATGGTTCTTAGATGCGAAGTCTTAACATTAAAGTTAAATAAATTAATTTGTAAATATACATAAAGTTTTAAAACTGGACAATCTGAGAACACACTACTTTGAAGACTTAAACTGATCAGCTTTAAACATAATATAAACCCAAGTCACGGTACTCTCTAAAGTATTCTACCTTAAAATAAGCAAAATATTAACAGATTAAAAGCCACAATCTCTCAATATACTGTTTCAGTTAAAGTATTCCACTTTTAACTACATTTTTGCATACATTACTTTTTTAAAAAAAATTTTCAATAGAATATTTACTGTAAGTGCATACATTATTCTAGCTCACTCTTCATCACTAATGAAAAAGTTAAAATTGCCAGACGCAAAGAATCACTCTTCTCCATCTTGTATCTCTGTAACTATAACCACTGAAGGACTAGAGAACTGTGAGAACAATTTGTTTCTTCACAGATCTCTACACTAAAATTTTTAAATTTTCTTTTATCAATCCCAGTGCCTCTGAACTCTAACACCAACCAAAGCAATTCACCAAAGTAGCTATATGGATAGCAAACAAGGTCATAAAGAGATATGTTCAATCTCATTAGTAATTAGGGAAAAAAAATTGAAACCACATAAGCTACCATTACAAACATATGAGAATGGCTAATATAAAAACAAGAACAATAAGTGCTACT